AAAATTCCCTTATGTTTTCTTATTCTTTTAGGTTTATGTGTAGGTCTTTGATTCATTTTAGTTTTTTAAAATTTATTTTATTTTTGAATTATCATAAATTAATAATATAAGATTTCATTGCGATAATTCCAGACATACATACAATGTGCCTTGAACAGATTTATCCCATTGTACTTCCATTCCCCCTTTTTTTCCTCCCCCTTTTTCAAATAGTGTTTGGTAGGTTGTAGTCTTCATATGTATGTATGTACTGTACTTCCATCCTCTTCACCCTCAGTATCCTTTCCTTTCCTCTCCCCAGGCAGTCCCCCATATACATTCATGTCTCAGTATTATTACCATTGTCATCATTTTAGGTCTAGGTTTCACAAATAAATGAGAACGTGTAATATTTGATCTTTCATGCTTGGCTTAGCTCACTCAATATGATGATTTCCAGATCCATCCATTTTCCTGCAAATTGTGTGTTTGTGTATACCTTATTTTCTTTATCCATTCATTGGTCATTAGACACCTCAGCTGTTTGCACATTTTGACTGTTTCCATATTTTGAAGAGAGCTGCAATAAACACGGGTATGGAGGTATCTCTCTTTTTTTAGTTTTTAATTTATTTTTATTATATTATTGTGCTGGGGGTACATTGTGGCATTTACAAATTTGTAAATTTACAATTTACAAAATTATATATATTACAATATATCTTATTTAAATTCACCCCCACCATCATTCTCCTTTATTTCTCCTCCCCTTATTCTTAGGAGGTATCTCTCTTGCACATTGATTTGCACTCCTTCAGATATATGCCCACGAGTGGTATGGTGGGGTCATGGGTAAGTTTATTTTTAGTGTTTTGAGAACTTTCATACTGATTTTCATAGTGGTTACACCAACAGTGTATGAGGGTTCCTTTTTCCCACATCCTTTCCAGTATTTATTATTATTTTCTTGAAGATGGCCATTCTGACTGGGGTGAGATGGAATCTTAGTGTAGTTTTGATTTGTATTTCCTTTATGGCTAAGGGTGTTGAGCATTGCCTCATGTGTTTATTAGCCACTTATATTTCTTCTTTGGAGACTTGTCTTTCGTTTGTCCCTCTATTAATTGGATTATTTGTTGTTTTACTGCTTAGTTTTTTTTGAGCTCTTTATATATTCTGGATATTAATCCCTTATCTGTTGAATAGCTGTAGAAGACTTTCTTCCATTCTGTGGGTTGTCTCTTGATTCTGTTCACTGTTTCACTTTTTTCTTTTTTTGTGATATTGGAACTCAGGGCCTTTACTTTGAGCCACTCCCCCCCTCCCTCCCCTTTTTTTTTTGACATACAAACATGGGCTATAACCACCCCTTTTTTGTGATGGGTATTTTCAAGATAGGGTCTTGAGAACTTTTTGCCCTGGCTGGCTTCAAACTGAGATTCTTCTTATCTCTGCCTTCTCAGTAACTAGGATTGTAGGCATGAGTCACCGGCACCCGGCTGTTTCTTTTGATGTGCAGAAACTTTTTAATTTGTTAATTCTTGCTCTTATTTCCTGGGCAGTTGGAGTCCTGTTCAGAAAATAATTGCGTATGCTTGTATCTTCCAAAGTTTTTCCTTTTTTTTTTTTTCCTGTAGTAAAATCAGTGTTTCAGGTCTTAAGATCTTTTATCCATTTAGAGTTCATTTTTATACAAGGTGAGAGATAGGGGTCTAGTTTCAGTCTTCTGCATGTAGACAGCCAATTTTCCCAGTATCTGTGATCCATTTTGGACTGATTTTTATATGTAGTATAAGGTAACCTCCAACTTCTTTCTGGTTTTGTTTTGTTTTTTGCAGTACTGGGGCTTGAACTCAGGGCCTTCACCTTGAGCCACTCCACCAGTCCTTTTTGTAGTGGGTATTTTCGAGATAGGGTCTCATGAACTAGTTGCCCAGGCTGTCTTTGAACCACGGTCCTCCTGATTTCTGCCTCCTAAGTAGCTAGGATTGCAGGCTTACTCCACCAGTGAGCAGCCCAACTTTTTTCTTTTACATGTGGATATCTAGTTTCCCCAGCACCATTTGTTAGAAAGACTGTCCTCCTTCTGTGGTCTTGGTGTCATTGTCAAAAAATCATTTGATCATATATGTGAGGGTTTATTTCTGAACTCTATTCTGTTTCACTGGTTTTATATAATTGTTTTATGTCAACACCACACTGTTGATTATTGTAACCTTATAGTAAGTTTTAAAATCATTAAGTTTGAAATCCCCAACTTCGTTCTTCTTTTTCAAGATTTTGTTGGCTATTTGGGATCCCTTGATTCCATATTAATTTTTGGTGGATTTTTTATTTTTGCAAAGAACATCATTGGGATTTTGATAAATACTTTATTGAATCTATGGATTCCTTTTGGTTCTGTTGATAGCTTAGTAATATTAAGTTTTCCAAATTATGAACACAGGATTTTTTCCATTTATTGGTGTCTTCTCTAATTTCTTTCAGAAATTTATGAGTGATCTAGTTTCTCTGAAAGCTCACTAGCATTTTGTGTTTTTACTGTTCTTCATTTTAGCTAGTCTAATAGATACAGCATCTCACTGTGGTTAAATTTGCATTTCCCCAATGAATAATGATGTTGAACATGTTTATCTGTCATTTCTGTATCTTCTTTGATAAATTATTTCTTCATACCTTTTGACCATTTTCTGATTGAATTGTTGTTTTCTACAAATGGTCCTTTTTCAGATATGTGGTTTGCATATATTCTCTCACAGTCTGCAGCTGATCTTTTCATTGTCTCAACAAAGTTTTTCAAATTAAAAGTTTGATGTAGTCCAAATGATCATTTTAAAAAATATAGATAACACTGTTGGGGTCAAGTCCAAGAACTCCTTACCAAACCCTAGATCCCAAATATTTTTTCTACATTCCTCTAAAGAAAATTATAGTTTTAGTTGGGTGCTGTTGGCTCAAACCTGCAATGCTAGCTACTCAGGAGGCAGAGATCAGGAGGATCTTGATTTGAAGCCAACCTGGGCAAATAGTTCGAGAGACCCTATCTCGAAAAAAACCATCACAAAAAAGGGCTGATAAAGTGACTCAAGGTATAGGCCCTGAGTTCAAACCCCAGTGACCCCCCCAATACATAGTTTTACAGTTTAGATTTGAATCTATGATCTATTTTGAGTTAAGTTTTGTGTAATGTATAGTCATGCTGAAGTTTCATATGCCTGTGGATATCCAGTTACTCTAGCACCATTTGTTGAAAAGACTGTCCTTCCATGATTCAGTTGCTTTTTCACCTTCATTAAAAATTAGTTGGCTGTATTTGTGTGGGTCTATATTTGGCTACTGTATTTTTTTCCACTGATGGATGTGTCCATTCCTCAGCCAGTACTATTTACTCTTGATTACTTTAGCTATGTAATAAGTCTTTACATTGGGTAGAGTGATTCCTCTCACTTTATTTTTCTTTTTCAAAAGAATTTTTAGAAGCAGACATGGTACACACATCTGTAAACTCAGAATTCTGGAGGCTGAGGTACGAGGATCATAAGTTCAAGGCCAGCCTGGGCTTCATAGTGAGACCCTGTCTAAAAACAACAGCAAAAGCTTTCATGTTTTTTAGATATTCTAGTTCCTTTGCCCTTTCATATAATCTTTGAAATAAACCTCTCTACATCTGTATAGCATCTTAAAGTTTGATAGGAATTGTTTTAAATCTGTTTTATCAATTTTGGGGAAATTGATATCTGTACTATGTTGGGTCTTCTAATTCATAAGTATGGCATGTCTTTCCATTAATTTAGATCTTTGTTTTTTTTCACTAGTGTTTTGTAGGTTTTAGCATGTGAGGTTTTTTTTTTTTGGGTACTGGGTTTAAACTCAGGGCCTCATGCTTGTTAGGCAGGATGCTCTACCATTTGAGCCATGCCACAACCCTATTCATGTTTTATTATTAGATTTATAACTAAGTATATGATTTTTGCAAGTATAAGTAGTATATTTTTAGATTTGATTTCCATGTAGTCATTGCTTTTTTTTTCTTTTGGTGCTGGGGATCAAACCCAGGGCTGCGCATGCTAGGCAGATACTCTACCACTGAGCTACATCCCTAGTCCCTATTGCTTTTATACAGAATTGTACTTGACTTATATTTATTCATCTCATATCTTAAAACCTCTGAACTCATTTATTAGTTGTAGGGTTTTTTTTTTTTTTTTTTAGATTCCTTGAGAATCTAAAATGTTATTTGCAGGTAGGCCATATCTGCAAATAGGGACAACTTTATTTCTTCCATTGCAATCTATATGTCTTTAATTTCCTTCTCAGTATATTCTATTGGCTAGTGTTGTGTTAAATAGGTCTGAGGAGGACAGACATCCTTGCTTCATTCCTGATGTTAGAGGAAAAACAATGTCTTTTACCATTACATATAATTCCAAACTTTGCTTGGAAGGTTTTTAGATTCTTTTTCAAGTTGAGAAAAGCAGTCTATTCATAGTTTTCTGAGTGTTTTGCATTACATTTTGTCACATAATTTTTCTGTATCATGTATGGGTTTGTGATTTTTTTTCTTCTTTAGATTATTAATATGATGGTTTACATTGATTGATTTATGGACCCTGAGGGTCCCTGGGATAAACTCCACTTGGTCATGGTATATTAATTCTTTTTATATGTTGCTTAATTCTATTTGCTAATATTTTGTTAAGGGGCTTACATCTCTATTCAAGATGGGTATCGGTTTGTAGGTAACTTATTTCTTTCCTTCCTTCCTTTCTCTCTCTGACTTTGTTTAGTTTTGATACCACATAGGAGATTGTGAAAGTTTGATAAAACAGTGATAGTGACCCTAAGTCATGGAGTGAATGAGTTAGGGCCTGAGAACATGAAAAGAATTCAATGGAGAAAAGCAATCTGGGGAATTGGGGAAGGGAAATAGTGTTATTTGGCTGGAAATACTGTTGTTTGGGTGAGTGTAGAGCAGTGTAATAAACTGATTTAGAAAGGGATGGAGATGAAATGTGAGAGTCATGAATGGACAGTTAGTATAGTTAGTTTGTAATTAATGATGTGGCAGGACTGGGATTACATTGACTATATAGAAAAGAATAAATATAACGAGTCTTAATAAATGAATGGTAGGGGTGGATCTTGACCTGGAGGCGATGAGAAGACCAGGTGGAAGGATCCTCTTGAACATGAAATTGGGGACCAATCTCTAGGACTGCTGGGAAGGAAGAGAGATGGGTAGGAAGAGAATGTGGCCTTGGAAATGATATTAATGTCAGGGAGTATCACTCCTCACTCTTTGCTTGGGAGCAAGGAGATATCCCTTAGGCTAAAAGAATAGTAGATCTATACAGAAGTGGAAGCAAGTATGCCTCTCTCTGTAAGGGAGCTTTGTCTAGGTCCATAGGCCAGGTTTGGCTTTTGTCTGTTTGCCTTTGGTTTTGAGACAGACTGGTGAAGACTCCAGTTAGGGCAAATCAGTACGTGTAAAGTTTTCTTTGAAAATCATCAAAAATGAAAATCAGTTGAAGTTCTTAGAGTAGTTGCTAAGTCTCAGTCTTGTCTGGGATTGACCTTGAGAGAACCTTTGATTCCATCCTCAATTGAACCAGAGAGTCATGCTATCCAGTTCACAGCCAGTAATTACGTTAGCATAGTCTCTTCCAGAAAACGGAAGAGAAAGGAACGCTTCCCAATTAACTTTATGATTCTGATATAGAACAAGACAAGCACCAATTTCCATTCCTAGTACAGTCATTCCTCTTTTCATGCCTTGAGGGATTCTCACATAGGGTGATATTCTTCTCATGGGGCTGTGCTAGCACTCAGGAAACTGTTTTTTGTTGTTGCAGCGGCAGCCGACTCCGCCAGGTTCAGAGCATCCTCCTGACTCAGAGCAGCAAGTCTCAGCCTGATGGAATCCTCTGCATCCTAGGTCAGTACTTTTAACAAGATGGGACTCAAGGCTGTGGCTCCTTGGATTCTTATTTATACAAAGATATTAATAATAGTACCATTGTAAAATAAGCTTTGGGCTAGTGTCCTTCTCCTAGCTCTCATTCCCCTGAAATCTGTTACTGTTTTAATGAGGTTGAACATGAGAGGCTTCAGTGAGATGGGGAATCCTCACCATTCTTGGAGCTCCTTTTATCCCAGCCATTTCATCTTAGCCTCACATAACCAGCTACCTCTTGCCCCTGACACTTTCCTCCTGCTCAGAGTCATGGTTCTGGGACATCACAGAAACCCAGAACCAGGTAGTATATATACTTAAGACACTGAGAGGCTGTAGTAAATACAGTATCATCTAATTTCCTTTTTAATTGTCTCTGACACAGCCTTACTAGACTGTAAGCTTCATGAAGGCCATTTGTAGGCACATATACCACTGCAACTCAGCATCCACTGCAATGCTAGGCCTTGCCCCTGATATTTGTGGCATGATGAGTGTTTATGGTTCCATTTGCTTGTCCTTTTCTTCATGTCTTTGTTTGTTTTGCTTTGAGATAGCGTCTCCTATGTACCCCAGTCTGGCCTCAAACTTGAAATCCTTCTGACTCTGCCTCCTGAGTGCTGGGATTGATTACATGTGTATACCACTACAGCTGGCTATGACTATTTTAGTTTTCTATTGCTACTGTAACAATGATCAGCTTGCTTTATTTATTTATTTCTTGGAGTTTGAATTTGAGGCCTCATGCTTGCTAGGCGGGCACTCTACCACTTGAGCCACTCCGCCAGCGCTTTTTTTTTTTTGTTGGGTTTTTTTGAGATACTATTTTCTTGAGAACTATTTGCCCTGGCTTCTAACTGCAATCCTCCTCATCCCTGCCTCCTGAGTAGCTAGGATTACTGGCGTGAGTCATCAGCCAGGGCTTGCTCTGATTATTTTTGAGATAGGGTTTTGCTTTATGCCCATGCCTCCAGGACCATGATCCTCCTATTTGTGCTTTCTCTTTTGCTAGGATGACAGATCCAAGCTACTGTGCCCAGCCATTGGTTGAGATGAGGTTTTGTGAACTTTCTGCTGAGCTCCTCCAGCTTTTTTTTTGCTTTAGGCTACTTTTCAGATTGGGTATCACTTTTTGCTTGGGGCCAGCCTCCGGCTGGGATTACAGAAATGAACCCATCTTATTTTTTGAGATGGAGGTCTTGCTGTTTTTTTTGTTCAGGATGGCCTCAAACCATAATCCTCTGTATCACCGCCTCCTGAATAGCTGGAGTTATAGGTGTGAGTCACTGTGCCTGTTTTCATGTCTTGGAACTTCTTTTTCAAGCCATCTTAATTTGCCTTTATTAGGTACCATATGTTTTGATAAAGTTCTCTTTGGGAAAGGAATATTTTTCAGACCCTTATTCTTGGCTAATGGAAAGTATTCCAGGATCTTTAACAAGCCATGGAAGACATATTTTCTGGTTCCTTTTGCCCTCAATATTCTATGTTGATTGATTGTCCCAGCTGTGTAGATGTTGAGATCCAAGTAAGGGTACCTGACACAGAGATCTTTTTCTTTCAAAGAGAGTGTTACTTAGTTTAGTTTCTAGCACAAAACTGGTCTGAGCCACTTGCCTTTGATCATCAGGGTTTTGCTGAGCACAGGCACATTTTTATTGGGGCTCATTGAATCCTATAGTACAGGACAGCTGATCAGAGCCTTCTTTACCTTGCAGGAATTGATAGCAGGTACAATGAAGGCTGCAGAGAGCTGGCAAATTATCTTCTGCTTGGTTTATATAATCAAAATACCAGTGATTTTGAGAAAACAGGATTTTCTGAAGAAGTTCTAGATGGTAAGTCTATTTTGTTAAACTGTGTGAGAGAAGAGTGGGTGGATTATTTGTTTGCATTCTTATTTAATGGTTTTTTAATTGGAAAATGTGATCAAATTTAAAGTAGTACAAAGTTCCAGTAAATTCTTGCCTTTTGTTTTGTTTTGAAGGGTGGGTGGGGAGGTCTCACTATGTTGCCCAGGCTGGCCTTAAACTTGTGATCCTCTGGCCTCAGCCTCCCGAGTAGCTGGAGTTTCACCACCACACCCTGTCAAACTTTTCTTCTTTGTTGATATATAGGTAATATGACCTGTTGGTTATATACTGAATAAGAGACTACCAACAAGTAGCTTTCAGAATATATTTACTGGGTAAATCAGTCTTGGGAAGAAAGCAAACATCAGTGCTTGGCTCTGTCTTTTCTTGGCAAGGTGCTAGTTCTTCTTGCAATTGCCCATTGCCTGTTCATACACACTGAGGGTTCACATTATGTGCTGGTGTCCAGTGAAAGCACTTTCAGTTGTGAGGCAAGGATGAGCCTGCAGGCTGATTCTGCAAGGAAGACCTCATGTGGATCTTCAGCTGAGGAACAAAGGCTCTTTGTCCTGCTGTCTCTGGGAATTGTTTGCTGTGTGACTTTAATTCACGATGATGCCTGTGACTACAATGCAGGCTTTCTGCTTCCCTTCTCCTTTCCTTGGCTCTGAGACACTCTGCCTGTGTTGCTGCTGCTGTGGACTGGTGCCCAGGAGCTATCCCTGATATCACACACTTAGCATCATGACTTGACTGCCAGATGGGTCAGGAGACACAGGAACAGACAGATAAAACTGAGCTAGAGACAGGCAGCTCTTGTGAGGCAGCTGGGGGGGAGGCATGAAAGCAAACATCTGATGTGAAATGATCTTGCTTGAGTATAATGGTTCTCAGCTGGGGGCAGTTTTGTCCCCCCAGGGGCCATTTAGCAATGTCTGAAGACATTTTTGATGGCCACACATATATATGTGTGTATTTTGAGACAGGTTCTTGCTGTGTAGGCCAGGCTGGCCTCCTATTTGAGATCCTCCTGCCTTGGTTGCCTCAGTATGGGGATTATAGGGTTTAACACCATGCCAGTGACAAAAAATTATCTGAGGTTGAAAATTCTGGTCTAATGTATGTGAAAATTCTCCTGTGGTAAAGTCCTTAAGAGAGCTTATCCTTATGATTTAAAGCTCTCCTTTTCATTAGAAAGTATAGAAAAATTTCCACTGAAATTATTTCTTCCATTAATTTTTTAAAATTCAAATTTGACTTCAGATTTTGATTGAAAAAAATTTTCCGTTACATTGTACAGCATCTGCTGGTTTGGAAAGAATCTCGGCCACTTGTACCAGCCACACATTCACTGCAGCCCCAGTTGTTATACTACTGAAATTAAGGAACTAGTTTAAATTCCCAAAGGTGTGCTTATCTTTGTCTTTATCCTTTCACCTGGCACAGTAGGTGCTTAGCAAGTGAGCATTTTCCTCCAAATTATAAATTCTTTTTTTTTTTTTTACTGGGGTTTGACCTCAGGGCCTACACCTTGAGCCACTCCACCAGTCCTTTTTTGTGATGGTTTTGTTTGAGATAGGATCTCTCAAACTATTTACCTGGGCTTCGCACCAAAATCTTCTTGATCTCTGCCTCCTGAGTAGCTAGGATTATAAGTGTGAGCCACCAGCGCCCAGCTTTATAAATTCATTTTTAAATCCAAATAGTTAAAAAGCTGAGGTTACCAGATTTATGTGTTTACATTTCAGTCTTCAATTTTGAGAGATAAAATAGCAACATAAAGGATTTATTTTAAAAAGACACTTTAAAAATATTTTACATATTCATTTCATTCTTCTGTACTTTCTTCTTTTACCTGACTGTGTACTTTGTGAAACTTTTGTTCTTTTTTTTTTTTAATTTTTTATTATTCATTTATTCACATGTGCGTATATTGTTTGGGTCATTTCTCACCCTTGCCCCCCGTCTTCCCCCCCCACACTTCCAGGCAGAACCTGTCTGACCTTATCTCTAATTTTGTTGAAGAGAAGACATAAGCATAATAAGGAAGACAAAGCATTTTTGCTAGTTGAGTTAAAGATAGCTAAAATGATGATATCATCATCTACTGAGAGTGTGAGAACACTTAGTTAGGTTTAGCGGCTGTTAGGTTATGCCTTTTATTATATCCTAATTCTTTGAGGTTATATTTTAGTATGGAGTGTAATACGTACTAGAAACCCTCAATCTTTCCTGGTGACATGACACTCTTAATCCTCAGCAGGTAGTTTACAAGTGTTTAGGGCAGGGCTCTTTGATAATAAGAAGGGAAAAGGAGGAAACCCATTACTGAGAGATGAGAACTCCCCTTCCGCTACACTTTGACTTTAGAACTTACCTGAGAGTCAATAGTAAAAAACTGTCTTCCTATGTTCCCTGTAACACCATGGACTAACCAGGTGTGGAGTGTAGAGTGGCTTAAAAGACCATCATTGGGCTGGAAGTGGCTTATGCAGTAAATTGTCTACCTAGGAAGCGTGAAGCCCTGATTTCAACCCCCAGTGCCAAGAAAAAAAAAGACCATTCATCCTGGAGCTTTATTCCAGGAGGCTGTCCAGCTGGGTGGTCAGCTGTGGTTGGAGTTCCCTAGGCTTTAATATGTTTTCATAAAATGTGGTTTGTCCATTGTACTGCTGTGTTGGCATTGCCAAACCTGCTGCATCTAATGCTCCTCTTCTCTGTGTGCTTCCTCACCTCCAGCAATTTCTAGCTTCATCTATTAGAGAGAGGCCTGGTAGCTCTGGTCTCAGAAGAGCCATGGAATGATGCCTCTGTTTTTCCTCTGGAAGTGTCTGGCTTTTGTTCTCTGTATTCAGGCTACTTTAATAACTCTGTCCCAGTCCATGGGTCTTCTGTTTACCTGGGTTATTTGTACTCTTGAGATTGCTTTATTTACTCAGCCCACCAATATCAATCGTTGTTCCTTAAATCTGTGAGCTGCTGATCTATTTACAGAAGCTGCTTCTACTTGCTTCTACTTCCTTCCTTCCAGCCTTTCCTGTGTACAGAGTTCATTACCACACACAGTACCCTGTGCTGACAGGCAGTGTGTAGGCCCATAGTTGGTCTAGAGCCAGATGAGCCAGTGGCCAAGAGTTTTTGACACTGATGTCTATGGGAGAAGAGTCACTGCCATACTTGGTAACTGCTTCAGTGGCCATTGGATTTCCATGGGATTTATCTCTGCATTGACGTACACAGACAAGTTTGGTACCACAGATTTGACTGTGTTGAGCTTTGCAAAACATGTTTCAGGTAATGAAGCCTGGCTCTGTGTGTGTGTGTGTGTGTGTGTGTGTGTGTGTTGCTGGGATCTGAACTCAGCCTCATACTTGGTAGGTAGGCACTCTACCACTTGAGCTACTCTCCAGCCCTTTTTTGTGATGGGTTTTTTTTCAAGATAGGGTCTCGTGAACTATTTGCCCAGGGCTGACTTTGAACCACCATCCTCCTGATACCTGCCTTCTGAGTAGCTAGGATTACAGGCGTGAGCCATCAGTGCCTGGCTTGAAGCCTGTTCTTTTGACTTATTTTGTACCTGCATTTGTACCTCTGCATATCTAGAGGGCCACAGTTGGTGGGAACATTGTATAGGGACTAGGAAATCTTTATACTTGGCTGTTCTTAGTCACTTTGAAGTACATTGGTTGATTAAATAAGTTTCAGTTTGAGAGCTGAGACTTGGCTCAAGTGTAGAGCGCCTGCCTAGAATGTGCAAGACCCTCAGTTCAAACCCCAGTACTGCAAAAGTAAAAATTAAAAAATGTTCAGTTTAGAGTTTTGTTAGATTGTTTCCAAAGTAGTTTTAATGTTTGGTTTGGTGGTGTTGGGGATGAACCCAGAACCTTATTTGTGCTAGGCAAGTACTCTATCACTGAGCTACATCCCCAATCCTTAATGGTTTTAGTAATTTTCTGGGCAGGAAATGTCTAAAGGAAAAGCTTTTGACAATCTTGTGTTTTAATTTTCTTACAGATGTGATTATATTGATTAAATCAGATAGTGTCCATCTGTACTGTAATCCTGTCAACTATCGCTATCTTTTACCCTTTGTGGCACATTGGAGAAATCTGCATTTTCACTGCATGACCGAAAATGAGGTGAGGAGAAAAGATAGAATAGGTATGTCTTTAAGGAAAGTGTTGGTTTGGAACAGGAGTGCCCACTCATCTTCCCCACCCCCCCCCAACCCCACCCCGCCAAAAAAAAATCAAATTGCAGATTGTGGTTACATAAAAATAGTTCTTTGTTTTAAGTAGAAAGTTTTACATTTCATTTTGAGGCTACTTTTTAGATAAGTTGTTTATCTAAAGGAGGCAAAAGGACACTGTTCAAATTGGGGCCTAGTAGTGTGCTGGTGAACCTGCCTTCCTGCCTGGCATCTCCTTCACCAACCTGAGCCCAGTCTCTTCTAGGACTAAAGCCTAGAGACTGTCCTTCGAGAATTTTTTAAACATTGTGACATTCTTGTCTTTGGGTTTCTTGCTATTTGTTTCTGTTTCCTGGGTCCTATTTAAAAGTTTGGCTGAAAAGCAAATAGGGATTTGAGGTTTGGGATTTCATGGAAGTTGTGACCCAGTATTGGTCAAGAAACTCTTCTTTCTATGTGAGTGTTTGAGGGATTTGGGTTGATTTGTGTGTGTGTATGACATAAGAGAATGACAGGTATTTCTGACTAGTAAATAAGATAGGTTGACCAGAAACTTTCCCTTGGTGCAGTCTCTACAAATGCCATTTAGGACAACCCTGATAAGATGTAGAGAAAATAATGGAACTTTGCATGATGTCTTTCATCAGAGCCTATTTTTCTTTTAATTTCCTTCTTTAGTATGAAGATGAAGAAGCTGCTGAAGAATTTAAAATTTCCAGCTTTGTGGATATGGTTCGAGACTGTAGTAGAATTGGTATTCCTTACAGCTCCAAGGTGAGTGTCTGACAACAAGCCCTTTAAGAGAACCTTGCTTGAATGGTGTATGAATTGAATGCCCTTACTTTTTTCTTTGGAAGCATTCAGCTGGGAAACCCCTTGATCCATTTTTACTAAAACAAAGGATCAAACAGAATGATTTTTGGACTTCCTATACAAGCTTATATTTGTAACTGTTTTTGTAACTGTGTTTCCACAGCAACACAGCAGCAAGTCACCTGTGGGTCAGGTAAAAGAATGGATAAGGAATTTAGCATAATTGATATCTAGTCTGTATCACTTTTTTTTTAAAAACAGGTTCTTATTGTCCAGGCTGGCCTGTAACTCACAATGTAGCCCAGCTTGGCTCTGCCTCTGGAATCAGTCCTGGTATTATAAGCATGCACCACCATACTTGGCTTTGTATCACTTACAAAGAGCATAGATGTGGGGCCTCTTGGTGATGAGAAATAGAAATTTGGATATCCATTTAAAAATTATCCTGACAGGTAGTTCAAACACGATTTGTGGAACACAGGGAAATAATGAGCACGTTTAGTAATGCTTACACTAAAACTTATGTTATAGGAACAAAGCCTTGCACATTGAAGTTACTGTTATAAGAAAGAAAACTTTTTGATTTGGTAGTTTTCCCTTGAGGAAGTTGATTGGCTGTGTTTCTTAAGGGAGAGTAGAACTTTGGGTCTGTTAATAATTATACCTACTAAATGATGCAAGTCAGCTATAACAGAGTTCTATTATTATTTTTACTTAATTACTTGGAAACTAAAATGTGAAAATATGCTGTAGAGAAATCTGAATTTATCTAACTTGCTTATGGTTTGAATTTTTCTTGGATTTCATTTTGTGTTTCTAGTTTCAATATCTAACCATTTCATCTGTTTAAATTTATTTTGCTGGATTATGCCCTGGTGAACTTGTGAGAAATGATGCCTTTTTAACCACACTAAATCAGGTTTAGATTGTTATATCCAGAATGGTATTTGATATGTGTTGTTATATTTGATTCTTCTAGGTCACTTGCAGATATTTGATATGTTTGTGGTAGAGAAATGGCCAATTGTACAAGCCTTTGCACTTGAGGGCATTGGAGGGGATGGATTTTTTACCATGAAATATGAGGTATGTATGAAAAGTAGTAAGTTTGGTTTTTGTCTGCCACTAGGCTGTTATTGTGAAGAACCCACAAAGTGAGTGTGCATTACAGTAACACTCTGAAAAGCTGACAGTTTTCTCCCAGAGGATTAGAGCAAGTTAGAGAACTTGAAATGCAGAACAATTGCTGTTTAAGATCAGTCCCAAACTGAACTCTCTGGTCTTTCCTTCTTGGAGCTCCTCTCTATTCTCTTCCCTGTCTTTCACCATTCTGAGTTAATTATTCCTCCTGATTACTCCTTATAGCACCTTGGCCTCACTCCTTTTGCAGCTTTTATCCTCCTGTTATTACACAGTTGTCACATACACACCCTATTCATCCACCCATCTTTTAGTCTCCTGACTGCAAGCTTCTTGAGTAGAAAAACAGAGCCTTATTGTTGTTTGTATCTCAGAAATTGATAAAATTTGAGAGCTATTCAAGAGCAATGAAGGGATAGTGCAAAATTTTGTATAAGTACAGTATAGTAGAAGAAATAAAAGGGGTAGCTTTTGTGGTAAGAACAGTATCTTTTATTTCATTATTCTTGTATCTGGGAGATGACCAGTAAATATTTGTTAAGTGAATTAATGAGTAAGTCTGGGAAAGGAGTTGTCCAGAGTACAGGTTAGAAAGGATGGCCTGGTAGGTCAGCAGCACAACCACAGGCATCCATGTGCTACCCTAGGTTCCCCACTGACATAACCTGGCCCAGTACAGAAAACCAAGGAGATGGAACATTATCATGCTATAAATAGTGTCATCCTGTTATACCTTTAGAAGCAATTCTGAGAAATATCACCATCCCTAGGAAGTGAGTGGGAGCTTATCTGGCAGGACCACGTCACACACAGGCTGGAGGGAAGTTGCCACATGCACATCACCTTTTCTGCTCCAAAACCACAGTATTTTCACATGACATCAACAATGTTTCAGGAACTGCCCCTGATATGAAGTAATGCTCTCTAATTCAGAAGATAAGGGACGTAAAGGGAGATAGGTTACATGGGACAGAGAGGAAGCTTGACATTTTTATAGTAATGGTTATATGTATTTTTAATTAATTGTATGAACTAGGCATTTGTAGAGTGCCTACTGTATAACAGAGACTATTCTAAGCACTTTATTTGAAGTGACTGATTTAATTCTTGCAATAGGTAGGTACTATTTCATATCTCTGTTTCAGGAGTTAGTGAGTGCAGGACTGGGACCAGGCCCAGGTGATCTGGTTCCAGAGTCTGTGCTATATACAGCCTAATCCCCCATACTACATCTAGAGTGGCATGGGAAGTAGTGTTCTGGGAGTCCAGTTGATAGAATCCAAATGAGACAGGCTTTCTGACTGTGCCTTAAGAGGCCTTACACCATGAAATTACATTCACAAAGAACAAAATCTTCCCCAAACACCTTTGAAGGGTAATATAGATCTTTACTGTAGGTTGGTGCTATTGGGGATGTTAATGGATGGACCATGTAGAGGAAATAGCAGATACCATCTAGTTACTCTTAAGTTTTCTCTCAAAGTCCCTGTCTCAGCTGGACATGCCACCATGCACAGCTGTAATCTCAGCACTTGGATGTGAGACAGGAGGATCGAGAATTTGAGGTCAGCCTGGGCTACATAGTAAGACCTTACCTCAAAAAAAAAAAAAAAAAAAAAAAGCTGTGGATGTATGGATGTGGCTCAAGAGGTAGAGTACTGCCTAGCAAGTATGAGGCCCTGAGTTTAAACCCCAATACTGCAAAAGAAAAGAAAAAGAAAAAAAAGTCCTCTTCTATATAGCTGATAATTTTAATTCTCCCAGATACTTCCCTTTTGTCTCCATCTTATTCCCCCTCATCTTAGTTCTGTTCTTTATATTGCCCTTCCCAGTTGTTTAAGGTGTGGAGCAGTTTGGTCTACAGATGCATTCTACTCAGCTTTGATTTCCTGAACCAGAAAGGCTCTTGCCTCCTTTGAAGGCTGAGAGCTATAGATGCTTACAACTTAACATTTTAAACTTCTATACTGTTGCGTGGCCATACTCAAACAAAGTAAACCCAATAAGCCGGTTATCCCTGATGTGGTTGGTGCTAGCATGAGAAGGGAAGCCAAGCCCAGCAGTAGGTTTTACTTGGCTTTTAGACTGTGCTAAACTGAGTCATGAATATGGAGAACTTTTTTTTCCTGAAAACATTTATAGGGAAGTTGCTGTACTCAGGTTTTCACTCCAACTTCCTTCTTACCCTTGAGCTGCCTAAGGAGAGGCAGCAAACTTCTGGATAGGGAGAATAACCAGGGAGCATTCTTTCACTTGTCTATGGACAAACATAAGATCTCCATATTAAAAGGGGGAATAAGAGTTGTGAAAAAAATATTCAACAAGAAGGACCATGGTGGCACATGCCTGTAATTCCAGTACTCAGAGGCTGAGGTAGGAGGTTTGCAAGTGTGTTAATCAGAATTTTTGCCACTGTGATAAAGTACCTGATGTAAACAACTTAGATGGGGAAAATTTATTTTGGCTCATACTTTCAGAAATTTCAGTTCTTGACTTATATGTTAATTCTGGGCCTATGGTGAGGCAGAATACCATGGGGTAGGAGCAAGTGGTAGAGGCTACTAACCTCATGGCAGACAGAAAACAGAAAGAGAGGAAGGAACTGGGGATCATGTATAACCTTTAACCTTTAAAGACATATCCCCCAATGATCTCCTTCCTCCAGCCAGGCCCTACTCCTATAAATTTCCACTACCTACCAAAATACACCACCATCTGGGGACCAAGTGTTCAATACACGAGCCAAGGGATAGACATTTCATAGTTAAACCATAGAATTCAGAGCTGGAGGTATAGCTTGAGTGGTAGAGTGGCTGACTAGCAAAAGCTCAAAGCCCTGAGTTCAAACCTCAATACTTCAAAAAAAAAAAATTTTGTTCAAACCATAGCATTCCTCCCCTTGTCTCCAAAGGCTCATGGCCATCTCATAATGCAGAATTCATTTAGTTCATGTCTAAGAGTCACCATAGTCTTTAACAGTTCCAAAATTGTTCAAAAAGTCCACAGTTCGGGAAGGAGCTGCCTGAGCGACTGCTGAGGCATGACCTCAGCGTGGGGAGTGTAGAATGCTGGGCTGAGGGAGCCTGTAGCTGGCTCAGGAATGCTGAGTGGTGACCAAGGAGGCCTGAGCTAAAGGGAGAAATGTAGAGGAGGTGGATCTGCCTATTGTGAACGAGGACTGTGACACGCGAAGATTGTGGCTGACCTCCACAAGCACCAGTGCAGCCTGAACTGGGCAACTGGACCAAGCAGATTATGCCACGCCCAGAGAGGCCGATTAGGCCACGGCTGGAGGCGGAGTTATGCACCCAGTGTCCTGGATGTGTGCAAAATTCGTCAGAAGTGGTTGTTTATTGTAAGCAGACATCAGAGCTAGTGCTGCACGCCCACTGCTGCCTGAATCAGAAGGGCACCATCTTGGGGTGAGGGAGGAGAAGACATCCTTGGATACTAGAAAAGAATCCTCAGTCCAGCCTGGCCTGAATGGCTTTGGGAATAAATATTGGTGCCTATCTGGAAAAAAAAAAAAAAAGCCAAAGTTCAATGTAAACTTCTATAAAATAAAAGCAAAATGGGGCACTGGTAGCTCATGCCTGTACCCCTAAGCTGCTCAAAGATTGAGGTTCAAGGCCAGTGGGCCTGCTGAGACCCCATCTCCAAAATAACCAGAGCAAAATGGACTGGAGGTGTGGCCCAAGAGGTAGAGCACCTGCTTTGTAAGCCTGAAGCTTTGAGTTCAAACCCCAGTTCCACCAAAAAAAAAAAAAGAAAAAGTTACATACTTCCAAGGTGGTACAGAATAAACATTGACTAACAAGGAAAGACTGGATCAAATAAGATTGAAACCCAGCAGGGCAAACACTAAATCCTGTAACTCCATGTTCAGCATCCAGGGCATGTGGTATTGTAATGTAAGCTCCAATGGGCTTGGGCAACCCCACCCCTAGGGCCTTGTTTGCAGCACACATGCCTCTGTCTTGGGCTGGCTCCATTTGTTTCCTGCAACTTTCTTCGGCCTGTGTTCCATATTTTCTGGGCATCTCTAACATCTTGGGGTCTTCATTGCAGCTAAACTTCAAATTCACAGCATACATCACCCTGCTTATAGGGACTCTAATCCTATCGCACATTACTGGCCTTCCAGGCTTTCCTTTGAAATCTGAGGGGAAGCTTCCATGACCTGGTAACTTGTAATTTTTCATACCTGCAAAAGGCAGTATCTTGTGGTTGATATTACAGTG